ACAATTTTTAACATTGATGTAGCATGAATGAAATTTTATGCAAATTGATTTTGTACATGGGGTGGCTATTAAGTGGAACAAAGGAAAAAAAATACTGTGCTATTTGGACACTGTTCAGAAAGATGGAGGTTTAAAGTCTCTGATGACCAGATACCAGATATTTCCTGTTTCGGCAAAGAGGCTGTCAAAGTTATCAAAACTGCGATTGTTTAGCAGGCTCTCTAGGAACCAAAAAAAAAAAAAAGGGAAACACCCCCTCCCCCCATTCAAAAAGCAGAGGAACTAATAGAACCTCCATTTATATTTCTAACTTCCACCATTCCGTAACAGTAAATTTAGCTTTCCTCCACCACACTTTTGCTAAGAAAAGGCAAGAGACATCACAAGCTGTTGCTCCCAAGTTGGGCTCATGCAAACTGCCTGGTCAGATACCATTACAGAGGGCACAGAAGAGATGCTTTAAATATACAAAGAATAAGGAAAACAGGAATCATGAGGTTTTGTTTTCCTAAAAATGCAAAATTAATAAGACCTCTTAATTAAATAGCTGCCATAGCAAACTAAGAATGCTGTTGAGCTTGCAGCGAGTCCACATGCTTCAGAGATCAAGATCGCATTTCCTACACAGAGGACATGCACAGCTACCAGGCACTCAGAAGAAAGAATCCAGGCACTCAGAAGAAAGAATGACTAACAGAAGCTGCATATCATCATACCACACTCATGTCATAGTGTCTTATGTCAAAGAATATACCTACTCAAATCATTCAGTCAATCAATTATCAATTACAAGATCTCCTACAGAGTAATCCAGAATGAAAAAATGTAAAACTGTATAGCTTCTACAACAGCTTATATACAGTCAACTATACCTTTCCAAAGTTTGTATATAAAGACCAAAGAGACAGGGTATCCCATACAGCAGGAAATTTTAATTTAATATGGAAACGCCAAACTGTTTGAATTAGCTAGCTTGCAATCAAGTAGCAGTTCAATAGGACATGCCACATACTAATTTACCTGAATTTCAGCAAAATCCAAATAATATTGATACAAACATGTATCTAACTTAGTAGCCAATATTAAAAATTATCTAAAAACCTGAGAACTATACATTTTTTATATATATATATATGTGCATGTTTGCATATATTTAGCTCTATAAAAATGTATCTATCTGTAAAATGATATGCCTATTTTAATTGAAGATATTCCAGTTCTATGTGGCTCCAAGATGCTGAATCTGAAAGCACTGGTGTTCCACAGCTGAATTAAAGAAATTTCATTTTTTTCTATGTTACCAGGTCTTTCTCTTGCAAGTTTTCAGCAGTTTGATGCAGCTTAAATAAAAATTGCATTACCCAAGCATGGTCTCAGCTGTTAACTACTGTTTGAATACTCCTGTTTTTCTGTTTTAAGGGGAGAAAAAATGATAAAATTGTATGTTCACCTTAACACAGAACCTGAACATCAATACAATGCCTGCTTCTGTAGCCTGCAGTAACATGGTACTTGACAAGAAATGACTGTAACATATGCATTGCATACTTCACAGAGAAAATGACCCATGTAAGAAGACCAAACTGGGAGATCCTAGCAGAGCTGTGGAATTGTTTTCACTTGACCAATAGCATTAATCAATACTTCAAAGAACACTTAAGAATTTATTTCAACTACCTCGTTTTGTTTCTGTTTTTAACTCTTCAATTTTGGCATGAGTTTAGCTGGTAGCTGCTATAGGATTTATTAAGATAATGAGGGCTTAAAAGACTGTTTCCTTAGGTACCATTTCAGATCTCAAAATGAACTTTGGAACTTGTTTGTTTTATTTTGTTTTAATAACAGTGAATTTTCAGAAGAAGATTTTATAACTCAAAATTAAATATGCAGCTTTTGATGCAGACCATGTACTCAGTGGAAAATAATCTAATATTCTTTGTGAAAGAGTAAACACTGGGAGAGGAAGCTTAATAAAGAAGTCAGGTAAAACTATTACAAAAAACAATTTCTATGAAGTCAGAGAAGAATAATTCCATAATGTACTTGGTATAAAGACAAATAATATTAATAGCAAAAAAAAATAAAATTCCTTTCAGGAGAATGTTGTGAAATTCAAGAGAAATATACACACAAAGCATTGAGCACATACTGATATAACCACAGTTTACTGATTATTATATTTAACTAATCTATTACGGGATTGTTAAAATATAGAGGTACTTTCTTTTATATGCACAAACAGCTCAGATGTATACATCATTGATCATGGAGAGGATGCAGCCCATGGGTCTGAAACATATTTCATTATTAATTGCAAAGTAATACAACATGCACATGCTATTCTTTACTAACCAAAAAGTTAAAAAATGGTAGCAACAATGTTATGATTCTGCATCAACATTCTCCGAGAAATACTGACGTTTAGCATTCTGAAATTCATGACTACAGAAAGCTTCATATATTTCAAAAAAGAAGTGATTGAATACAAGGCTTAAACACTGTATTTGTTTGTGTTAGGGTCCAGCTTCAAAAGTGCATAGCGTTTAACAGTTTACATGAAAGTCCATGAAATCCCTGCCTGTGATGAGAAGAAAACTATTACAAGAAAGGACCTGACAGAAGGTAGTGGCTGACATAAAGTCTTTCCACCAAATTCTACCGAATTTGGAATTAGGCATCACTAGAATGGTGACTTCTGAACTAACTTCAGTTTCTTCTGACTTAAAACCAGATTTCGTAACTTAGAAACTAATTGCTTACAGTGTGCTAATATTGGTAATGACTGCATTGGAGCCTAGGACATGCATCCATGAGCTCATCTTTGTTTTACCATATATTTTATTTATTAATAATCTATTTTGACAGCAACATATGTGCAACTTTATACCATTGTTCTACCCCTGGAAAGAAGGGAAGGAGTTAAAATAGACTTCAGCCAACATATAATTCTATACAGACACACTTCTTCAAGCAATGCTGCTTTGGATTTGGCTTCTACACCTTCTGTGTCAACTTAAGCTAACAATCAGTGGGGTCTATGAAATTAAGTGTATCCACAAAAACAATGGACTAACCTGATTTACTTACATTGCATGTAAAATCACACATATAAATAATTGGTAGAGCTCTGTAGATCATGTCCTTTATTCACAGAGCGTAAGAAAGAAGCCCTATCTAGCTAGGGCTAAATCTGGAAAGTACACTAAATTTAGTATTGAGTTTCTTAACAAAATGAGCTCAGACCTTGAAATGCTGACTTCTTCAGCAATTTAAAGACATATGTTATAAGAGACAGACACTGAAGACAGATATACAAAAACAGGGGAGTTATTTCATTCCTTCCTTACTTCAACTAACAATAAGCTTCATTGCTCATAAGGAGTAAAAAAGCCCCTAAACACACTACAGAGTTCACCTTAATGATCAGAGTGGTGCACTGGCTTCTTACTAAGTACCACGTTCACTTAATCTGTATTTTGAAGAGCTCAGCTTCTTCCTCATGTCACTTCATGACAATCTAGTCAAGGCTGCTGATCCACAATGAAGGAAACAAAGGTGTCCCCCATAAATGTAACGGCATCAGAGGTCTAGAAAAGCAGTCCAACTGTACCAGCCTTTAGGCTAAATACATAAGAATCTTTCTTTCATGGCTTTGTGTGAAAACAAGTCTTATGGTATTGCTCCTGAGTTACTGTTGCCCTTGGTGCATGTGTTGATTAGTGATAAAAGAAGAACTACAATTGCAATTAAATGCATGGCAATAAAGTGCTCTTTCCTACACAAGAATAAACAGAAGTAGTACATGTGAAAATTTGCTGTGATAGTTTAAAAACAACAAAGATGTGACAATGAAGTGACAAGAATAGGCACACAATTGTAACTGGCAGATATAAGAATACCCCATGCAATACAGCTCCTGGCAATATTGTATTTAATATGTTAAAGCAGCTTACGGGCAACACAAGGACTTACATACTACAATACAATTTACTGCTGTTGAAATTCAGTAATACCAGTCTTCATTATATTTCAACAAAATCAGTTTACATTGTGAGCCATTGGGAAAACATTTTCTTTAATGCTGACAAAAAACAAAGTCTGAATAAAAGTTTCTATGATGTCTTGACTCTTAAATGAAAAACAGAAAAATCAACTTGACTTACAGAAAGTGTTAAACAGCAGCAAAGGGCTAATTATACCATACTATCTTCCTTTTGTCTAGTATAAAAGAACATTTTCTTACTTTGCCTAGTTGAGTATAATAGCCTATGAATTATGAGATCAAAGCAGCAAACTGTATGTTTTCTAAAGTAAGAGTTTCCTTCACCAAGTTTTACACTTACTACAGCTAAAAGAGCTGTGTGAAGGGATCAGCACTAAACCCAAAGGACAGGCTGTGCACAGCAAGAAAGAGAGCAACTCCCTCGTGCTTTTTGCAGGTCACTACCAAGGACCATGTTAGCAGATCCACACCAGACCCTTAACAGGCAGCTCTGCTGCTACCAGTAATTAGCTTGGACAGCTCTGGCTCCAGGAGTAGCAGCAAGGCTACACCATAATGAGCTCAGCTGGGATTAGCAGGACAGGGCAGGGAACCAAGAGAGCTGAGGCATTCTGCATTGCGTATGTATCACAGAGATCAAACAAGGATGGCTGGCTAGGTTATCCCCTCACCACCTCATTCCAAAAATGAAGCACGGCAGTGTGTAAAATACAGGCTAATGAAGAGCGACACCTCCAACAGATGAGAGCCATATTAATTAACACAATCCCTAGATCATGGAATACAGTTTCTGTTAGTGCTAGCAAACTTGTAACTTGTCACTGATTTAAGAGGGGAAAAAAAAAAAGCTGATGTTTTCCTTTTCTGCTTTTGGTAGAAGATGGTTTTATGTTGGAATTTTGCAAGGAATTTCTCATCTATGACCTGCAAAGCACTAACTTCAGAAAAAACAGCAGAATGTTTCTTTATGTAAACATCATTTAAGAAACAAACTCACTTTTCTACCAGTAGCCTTTTGTGTTCCTTTTTGAAAAAAGCCAGTTCATTCCACACAGCATCAGAATCCTCTTGACAAAGCTGATGGGGGTCTGCACGCTGGTATCTGCCTTTACCACTTTCAATCCTGCTCATGAGTAAAAAGAGGTAGTTTGTTTTCAGATATCTACATGTCTTAGGATGACAAAAATAAAAGCGCACTTGCTTTCAGAAAATATAAATTTTAAAACTACAGCATACACTGGATATAAATATTGTATGCTGTATACATTCTGTGAGGCATGAAAACTTAAATATGGTTATTATACAAAAGATCAATTACACAGCTTCACACAGATATGCTAGTATGGCACCATGGCTCTCAACTGACATGTGGCAGAGCAGTGTCACCCACATTCATTCTGATAACATTGCTTAGAATATTAGCATGAGAAAGCAGAAGGTGAAACCATCGTCCAACCTCTTGCAAAACAATGCAGGAGACACCAGCTCCCCCAATGCCCCTTCAAAACCAATCTACAAAAAATATGCCCCTTGTAAAACCAAGTTAGATTAATGTCCACTCTAAATCAAACTGGTCTAATGAAAAGAAGAAGCTGCCTATGGATAAGACGATGGACCAGGAAAAAGTATACTGAATTTAGAAACACAGAAAAAGAAAGTGAAAATATTTCAGGTTTTATGTAATTATAGTGTTTTTATGTATGTTAGTAATGCAAAAGATCAAAATTATATTAAAAAAAAATCCTTTACAAAATAAATTTAAAACTCTCTGCAACCTACATTTCTGCTGGGATAGAAATAACCCCTTGGAAAATGTAGTAACAACATAAGGCACCCATCATCTTTGAGGTCACATATGTCAGTGGAAGTTGTATGTACACTGACAGGTGCATTAGGTCCCATCAGCTGCCATCTCAATAACAGATTCTAATCTATGAAGAATCAAAAAGAATGGGGTCCTTCACCACTTACAGAGGATAAGAAGTGCCACATAAGCAGATGATACTGAGCTCTTAACGCACAATTTACATTACACCAGCAATATAATGCTTTTTGAGATACCAAAATAACAGTGTAAGGTGTAACCATTTACAGATTGGTTTTATTTGTGTCTTGGCCCCTTTTCTGTGTTTAGCCACATTAAAAAGAAAAAAACCCAAACCTCTTTTAGTATGATGGCTTCATAGAATTCTGTTCTGACAACAGAAGTGATCAAAACGTGTAATCTGCAGCTTATCTTAATTATATATGAAAAACTCCCCTACATGAATAAAGATTTAGTACTACACCTTCCCCACCATCTACTTTTCCCAAATACATTTCTGTCAGGACAGAAGCTGGTGCAATTTATTTTAAACAGAAGTTGCTTTTGTCTCCCTTTCCCTTCCCCTTATTTTTTTAACAATCAGAACCAGATCACTCAGTGCTTCATTGCATATCAAATTGGATTGATTCAAGTTTTGATACTGTCTTTATCTAGGTTGATTTTTTTTTTTTATTTGTGGACTGTGAATGCCTTACTTAGCTTTAGGCATTGAATTAACTAATTTAATTCAAAAAAGTAACTATCATTCAGTAGATTTCAGTCGTTCCCAGATTGCACTGAATTTAAAACTGTGCAATAGAAAATAAGAAGATCTATCTTTCCTAAATAAACAATACCTTTTCATTCTAATTTAAACAAATCTAATTGTTGTTTATGCTTTAATATTTCAAAAAATACTCCTGTGCTACCAATGCCTGTAGCACATTTGTACCTTGCCCTTATTTTCATTCCCACTTGGGTTTTATTTTTTAAAAAGACAAACCATTCTTAGGTAAATACTACAGTATTGCAATGCAAACCTACTCAGATAGGGCAAAGCATTATTTACATATGAGGGACGGTTTATCTTTCAAAGTAGGACACTCTATGTCACTCTGGATTCTGAACAGCTCCCAGTTTTGCAGCAATTTCTGTGACTTTTTGGTCAGACAGAATTACAAAATTTGTGTCAAGATTAGTCAGTATTGCTTTAATTACAAAAAGAATTATTTGCAGTAAAATACATATGTGTTTATGAAACTGTAGGTGCACAATGAAGTATTACTAAAGCCACCAGGATCTGCTCAAATTACTTTCCTGAAACAGGGCCTGAAAAACTGTATCTAAGCAGTGTCTGATAACTAACGTGATAAAAAATGTCTTCATATATCTGAAATGTGTCTGTTTACCAAAAATTCTCAGTCTCTGCTAAGGACTTCAAAAATTCTGTATAAAATTTTCAGTGTTCTGTATAGAATTTAAGGGATAATTATATATATAAAATATTCTCTATTTAAATTTTAATGTGTTAAGAGTCTTTCCATTAATAAAGATATCACTGCAATATTTTTGTAGAATTATCAGAAATAACTTATTTTATAAACACTTAACAGTGCTTTTCATGCACATTCTCTTTTTTTCCCTATTAAGAAGGGGATTCTAGGATTAGCTTAAGTTAATGTTTGAATCACCAAATGCTAGAGAGACCGTTATTTCTGTATTTTTAACGAATAAAATTATTTATAAAAAGTATTTGAAACAAAAGGAGAAATTGATCTATTATTGAAAATTAAAAACATACACTGTCAACAAATTAATCAACTGGGGAATTAGATGAACATAAATAAGCAGCCCTAACAGCCCTTTGCCCAGTACCCAGGCTCACAATGAGATCCTTAATAAAATAAGTCAAGGTGTCAGCTCAATACATTTTACTCTTGGTTTCAACTGCAATTTTTCTCACATAGGGGTATGCCATGTATTCTGCTTAAACAAAGAACGAAGTCTTGATCACGACACAGCAGCTTCTCCCTTCAAATCAAATTCTCTTTTAAACACCGATATAATACTTTTGTTCAGATTTCTTGTGTAAGGGAAATGTTTTTAATGAGCTACGTAACTTACCTGCTATCACCCTCTTCCCACTGCTTTAATTGCTCTTTTAGTGCTCTGTAGTTGGTCTGTAACATCTGCAGCCTCTCTCTGCGTTTTTCATGGGCTGCTCTTAGCTCATCAGTTTCTTGAGTCTGTATAGCAACAAAAAAAAACCAAAATTACAGTTGGGCAAAATGTAAGACTGTCACACAGAAACAAAAGTTCTGTTTAAGTAACTAGTAAACAGCAATCTGAATAAAGAGATCAGGAATAATAATATTGGAGGTCAAATTTTTGCTATTGCTAGGGTGGCAGATTTTTGCTTATTTGGCAAAATTTACTTTCATTTTTTCATGATGTTGAGAAATTTAAAAAAATTTACTACCAAAATACCAGTTTTCAAGTTATGAATGCATTGCCCCAACACACTGAAAAAGGATATTTTTTCTTCTTCATGGAAAACTAATCTACATATTTTAAGGAAAACACTGCCCACACCTGAAGTCAACATTAAACCCCCTAGATTAAATAGCTTCAGGATTTTCCCATACATTGATTTATTTCTGTAAATATATATAAACCTGCAGCATACAGACTTTGCCCTCTGTTTTTACAGAACAAAAGATTTACATCACAAGATAATGCCAGTTTAAAACAAGATTTTCCTAAGTGGCCACACTGTCTTCTGAAAAACATTACGAACAGGACACTCCACAGCAAGTTTAATGCTGGCAAACAGTAGTAAAGAATTCACCAGACATCATCCTGCAGTAAAATCTGTCCTCAGTGCTTCAATTCTCGTTCAATGGGAGCTCTGCTTGTAGAGAACTACAGAACATGCTCCTTACTTTCTAAGTAAATCACAGTAATTTATTTGCACGTATTTCCTGCTTATATGCTAGGAGGGCATTTCAGCATTAGTCAATAAATAAGATACCTCAATATTCAGAACTGCAAGCAAAAAAAATTAAATCCCACTGTAAAAACATGGCAAGGGTTTCTACAGTAGTGCTAACTAAAAAGCACCTAGACTAAGCTTGGGTTCTAAAATATAGCCTAGCTTTCATGATGCATAAGCAAAGCTGAAAGATACCAGCTAAAATTTCAGATGCTACCATATATAAAATTCCAGATGTTTTCTGGAAGTGAATCAGGCAACACAAAAAGCAGACTTAGGAGCAGAAGCAGGTACCAAAGATGACCTTACTATTAAATACTTCCCCGTAGCGGTGGTGTTACTTTTTTTTTTCCTGATACAAACTCTAACCCACATATATTTATAAAATTGGAATTGCTTAAAAAGTACTTATGTCTGGTTTTAAGTGACTCATATAAATACTATGTTGATATTAATAACAATCACACAAATAGCAAGATAAATTTATGACAAAGGACAGAGTGACCATTACCAAGCTTTGTTTGACACTATAACAGGAATTTTTGACAAGAATCCAATTACAGATGCTGTTTTCAAGAGAAGTTAATGAAATTATTGCTCTGAGATTGTTTGATCTTGCTAGTGAAAACTGATCAAGTTTGGCAAAGTACTGGAAAATAATGTCTTCAGCATAAAACCTTAGTAGTTTATTAGTGTCAACACCCTTTCAGAAGTATAACCAAATGCAGAATTTGGCCTTTCCTGTTTATGAATCCACATTTTTCATTATTGCTTACATGTTCCATTATCCATTCTGTTAGTTATTCTTTTCCCTTATCAGTTGCTATTTTTGCAGAAACAGAAATCAGGAAATTAACTGCCTTAATGACTCTATTGAATTAAGAATTTCAGAACTTTAACTTTGTCCTGTAATTTCCGTAATTTGTTAGTTCCATCTCTCTCTAGTTCAATTATATTATAGTTCTCTAATAATTAACCTCTCTTGTATACATTTTCCTGTATAGTGACAGAAATGAGACAAAACAGCCATCTTCAGCAATGCTGGACCTCCAGGCTATTCTCCAGCTCTCTACTGTCATTCTTAGTACCTGCCATGCAGTGTGAAAGACAAAAACACAAAAGTCTAATCTGCAGAATGAAGAACCCAAATGCTTGTGAAAAGAAGTCATTTTGTTTTTTTCAGGTAGCTCAGACAAGCCAGAAGATTCTAATCACTAGCTCAAAATCTTGTTGAAATTGACCGGTAACAAATTGAATTAAAGTGGAATTACTGAATATATTGAATTCAGTTCTTTCATCCCTCTTTTTAGGCTGACAAGAAGTTAGGAATCTTAACCACTGCAAAAAAAAAAAATAAAAAAAAATCTCTAAACTAAATATAACGCTGTGCCATTGCTGACATTAACAAGAATTAAGGTTGCCCTAAAGATTGATACATTCTAGTTCTAATTTACTCCAGTATCTTAGGACTTCAAACAAAAAGAATGAGAAAACTTAAAGGGAAGATGCCCTACTGCTTTTGAAAACTTCCCTGTTAAAGCCCAGAATATCTCCTCCAGGCTATAACATTGATCATAGTTCTAGAAACATAATATGGGAGAATACATTCTTAGTTTGTGTCCAATATCTAACTCTTGGCAACCAGACTTTTACCCACTTCCTGAAGACCAACAGTAGATGGACATACCACGTTTTGGAACATTCTAAGTACCAGCTTGATAATTTCTTATTCAAAATCCATGAAATACTCTCATTTACTTTGCCATTCTCTTCCTTAAAAAAGGGTGCAATCAAGCATGCTCTGTTCCTTTGTAGTATGTCCTGGAGTACAGAAATGAATCTGATTCTTTACCAAAAGTATAGACACACTGAATTGATATGACTATATTAGCAAAAAGACAGTAAGAGCCAACTTTCCTTGGCCAAAAATGAGTCAGCTGAGGAGAACACAGCACCTTGCTCTTTTCTGTTCATTTAAAATATTGACTGGGGCATCAAATATTTCTGTTCCTGAAAACCCCATAAATAATAATGTTGGTTTGCTTTTGGTGGTTTTTTGTTTTTTTATTACCTGTTTTTCAAAGGACTGATGGATAAATTCACTATTTAATCTTCAAGATATGCATGATCAGGATGCTTATTGATAGAGCAAGCACTTTTTTGAGCAAGTTTCTTTCAAGTAATCATATAGTCAACACTTTGCTTGAGGAGGCAATAATGCAAGTACCACTTTTGAAAGTGTTGAGCACATACATTATTCTTTGTTGGAAGCACTGCCTGAGAGGAGGCTAATATAAAAAAAAAAACACCATACAACGCCAACAGAATTGTTCTTATGTTCATATTAATGACAAATGAGTTCACTGTCATGCTAGCAACAGCCTTATTGAATTCTGAATGTAGTGCCACAACGGTATTTAGTATGTTACACGGGCCTCTACAGCTTCTTTTTAATTTAGGCATTCTGCAAAAGCAACCAAGTAGGTTTCCTAAAGAAAATGCAAGGAGTTCATATCTTCAGTTTCAAGGGGCAACAGAAGACAGCCCTGGAAGACCTCATAGATTAACAGCTGTAACAGAGATCCCATATTCGCCACATAATAAAACTGCATAGATTCCTAAATTACCCTTTAAGACGAAAAAGAAGAAATTACAATGGCAGTATGGTAAGCAGTAAAAATTATGAGGTCATGCATAGAGAATAACATATTATTACGTTAATCTGCTCAGAAAATTGTAGTGCTTCTCTTCTCTTTCCAGAAGAAAACACAAAGAAATGTAGAATTCTCTAACATTTAAGACAACAACCAAACATACTCATGTGTGACTTTTGTTGCCGAGGGCAGAACAGCTGTAGTCCAAAGCACCAGAATAACCTGTAGCATCAGTGTCTCGCAGGCCAAGTAAGAGTAACAAATACGAGGCCTGCCAAAGACCAGTTCTGAGGTACAGCTGGCAGGACATGCCTTAGATTTCTCAACAGAAAGAAAAAGGAAGTAACCTGACTCCAAGGAACAAGGAGCAAGATGGACTGTAAGGCTGAATTTGAAATCTAAATCATCTTTCCTGTTCATACACTCGATGTGTATTAGACCCTCTTCAAGTATACAGGGTGAGGAACTTTTGCATTTGTGCTGAAATATAATTCCCCACTCACATTTTATCCTAAAATTGACCTATCACATATGAGTGTCTTTTTGCATGAGGGAGGAGCTCAGCACTATGGTTTGTAGAGTCCCCAAATTTTTTCACTTACCCAACATTTAGCACAGCATGTTTAATATAGCCAGTTCTGCTATATGCTATATACTGAAAATATCTTTTAAATTCCATAACTCTGAACAAACATGGGAAGGGCAGGCCAGGGCAGGGGAGGGGAGGGGAGAAGAAGGGAAGGAAAGGGGAAAGAGAGGAGAAAGAAGGGGATGGAAGGCAGAGGAGGAGACAAAGAGGAAGGGAGAGGAGGGGATAAAGAAGGAAGATTACAGAGAAATGTGGGGGGGAAGGGAGGACTTGTAAATATTTAAGAAATTATGACTTAAGGTTTGGGTTTTGCATTCTGAGGTGCAGTTTGAATAAATTACTCAAAAGGTGCTATTTTTGAAGTGGAAAAACAAACCAACAAAAATCTATAAAATGGGGACAAAATGGAAAATTGTAATACATGCTCAATTAAGCTTTCCTACCAATGGTCAGGGTGGAGGGGTTGTTTGCTGGTTTGTATTTTTATTTACATAATTTGTTAGAGTAACAACTTCTGAGCCACGATTTCAAAGAGTACAAGCGGTAAATCTGTGCCAAATAATTGACTTCAGCATTTTAAAATACTGGCTGGCTTCACTGTACAAAAGAAAAAAAAAAAATTTGTAATTTGTGCTTCACTTTATTTCTACATGAATTTCTCAAAGTATATATTATCAGACACAAATTTTAAAATGTATTCAACAAGTACATATTATTGATGACAGTTCAAATTAAGACTTCCATAGGACTGCAGGAGTACCAACACAAAATTCCTAGCAGTAAAGGGAAAAGACAAACTAAAGAAGAGTGCCCTCTGATGCTAACACACTTACAGTCCATAATGATATGTGCATTTTGCATTTTTAAAATGCCTGTTTATTTTGGTATATCTTTATCTACACAAGTTTATAGCTAGAAGGGTTTTTCTATTTTTATTTTTTAATGTTCACCTTTAGCTGTAGTGTCTTCTCTAAGTTTTCAATCTTCCTTTCAGCTATTTTAAGCTTCTTTCGCTCCTCTGACTCTCTAAAAGAGCTCTTTGGGGACAGAGACCTTGAACGTTTCACAGGTGGTTCCTGGAGAATAAAACAAGGACATGGTTGAACTAGTTGGAACACCAGATTATGAAAGACATGCAGAATTAAAGAAGAAGTAATTTTGAATACTAATAATGAATTATAAAAAAAAAAAAAAATCTGCATGGAATACCAGAGAAATAACAAGCAGAATTACCACAGCGCTACCACTAAAGGTTTCTCTGTGACTCGTTAATGAGAATATTCATTTACATTTACATTGTTTCTTTCAGAATAATGATGTCCCATTAGGGAAGACTAAAGGGTTATAGACTCAGAAATGCAAGAAACCTCATTACAAAGGAGGGGATAGAGGCTGGTCTAATTGCTCTATAAGGGTCCAAGGTTACACTTGATAGGACAACCAGAAACAAGAGGGAAAGGATTTTTTCCCTTTGAAATAGTTTAACACACTGTGAAGTTGAAGGAACAATATGCTTGAGGAATATAAATACAACAGACAATAGATCTTATACCATAATGACCATATGGTCATTAACTATAATGTGACTAACTAGAGACAAGAATATGTGTTTATATTATGTACAGGTTCATATAGCAATCTGGAGAAAGAATATGTAAAAGTAACACTTAAACTGGGTAGCTTTCTGTTCATTCTATGTCATATGTCCTTATGGCAAAGAAAGACCTCATCAAATTAGACTTTCTGATTTTCTTAATAACTTTGATTAAGGACAGAGATATACTAACACACACTTAATATCAATAGGGTAAAAATCTATTATGTAAATACATAAAATAAAAAAAAAAACAATATTAACTGTGATTATTGTTGTTGCACGTTGCCATTTTCACTGTAAAAGAACTGATTTACATCAAAAGGAATTGAGGATAAAGTCTTCTTAAATACTATATATTTCAACACTTCCACGATTCCACTCAATTAATCTAAAAAAAATCTTAATTAGCAACTGCAATTTTTTTTCTTTGACCATTACATTTCAGTATTAAATGTTTACAAGACACTGTATATCACATTTTCACTTCAAATGGTATCAGTTTCACAAAGGAGAAATTAAAAAAAAAAAAAAAAAAATCAGAATATAATATCATCGCATATTTAAGAATTTAAATATTGCCAAGGTGCTTTTGCTTCTGGAATGTGCTTGAATGAGATTTAAAAAATAAAAATTAAAAAACAAAACCCAAACAAAAAAAAGCCCAAACCAAACCAAAAAAAGACAACAACACCTTTTCCTCATCGCTCTGTCCTCCCCCACAAAAAAAAAACAAGACAAACATCTGGAAAGAATTTTAGGCCATTTAAAATCTGAATGCCAAATGGTATATTTTGCATATTCCTGTCAGTCCCTTTATATAACAGAAGAAACTAGAGGAAAGTTTTAATCAACACTTACAACAGTATATCCAATGTTATGGTTTTATATTGTCAGTATAACATTGTACTAAGAATAGATCTCTATGAAATATAAAGATTATCAATTTACATTTTTTAATAATTCTCAGAGATACACCCAAAGGTTTACAACAGTTCATAGACACTAATAATAATCAAAACAAATTGATTTCTTTCAGGTGTCTGAAACAGAACATCACAAGACCAACATATCAAAATACATACTCATTTTCAAAGCCCCAGATTTCTTGAATAAAATCAAGATCTTAAATAAAACTCCCATCTTGTTTCATAATCAGTGCATACCCATACTCATTTTTCTGAAAAAAACCCAGAATGTATTATTTTTCAGTAAGTGTTTCCTAGTTAAACTTTATGTTTGTATACAGAAGACTTAGAAAACACAGTATTTCTCTGAAACCAGGAATAAAAGGTCAAAGCACTCCATTTGTTGTCAAAGAGAAGGACAACAAAGGAAAAGAAGTGGACCAACTGGCACCAGACTGTTAAGAATGTAGAGACTCTACAGCAGAGTTGAGAGAAAAAAATTGCAGAAAATGTAAAATTCATAGTCTTGCTGCTTTAATCAAAGGTGATCAGATACAGTGAGTACGGAACAGTTTCTCTTTACGTGTGTGTTTGTATACATACACAGACCTCATATATAGCTATCTGGAATTGCACAGTGAATCTTTTTCACAAAACCAACAAAAAAAATAAACGAGAAACATTCTAACTATTCATGGACATGGAAATAATTCCCTGTGAGAACAGGTGGGATCGGTGATATGCATTAATAAATATTCTATTGTTTGAACATGTTTTTCCTGTTTAGTGATAAGACTAGAGGTCTGTGGAGAGAAGGAGCTGGGTCTGGGCTTTACAGCTCCACATAGGCAGTTCAAAGCCAGTCTTTGCTAAGCAGGCAAACAGTTTAATTTTCCTACTAAGACAGAAGAGTCTGCGTAGTAAAATACATTGTAATTTGATTGCCTGGAGCTGCTACAAAACTCAGTTTGGAGGGTAGTATCTGTAATACTCTTCTCACAACTGCAAAGTTTGCTGCTGTGAGATTTAAGCATTTAATTTTTAATTCAGTCCTAAAATTCTGAAGTAAATTTATCCACACCTGTATTAAATATATACACAAATTTTAATATTTTGAATCCAGTTTTATAAGCAAAGAATGCTAATCCAAGTCAGTAACAGGTAACAACAGATTTTTCATCAAATGATCCTAAAGAATGTTTACCAAACACTGAGCCAAATTGTAGAAAACTAGAAATAAACAGCCTTTGTAATATTAAAAGATATGAAACTTTGAGATGGAAGATCTAATGTAACAAGAAACTGATAAGTGGATGGACATACATTAACTGTTAACAGAGTTACAAAAAGCAGAAAAAGGAAAGATGCATCTGTCTAAACAACCTTCTTTTACCCATTTGCATCCATGAAAGAGACCATGGGACATAGCTGCAAATAGTCATGTTCTTGAATTTCAACAGGTTTAAGTTCCATGAAGTCCCAAAAGAAGTCAAAAAAAAAAAAAGAAAAGGCAAAGAAAAGGCAAAGAAAGGAAGATGGATCTCCTACTGAAAAGTCTTGGAGAACTCTTCTGCACAGACAGATCAGGTCAGTGTCTGCCAGGATATAGCACTGAAGACAGTGGACAGGAATCTCAATGATTTTTATTAGCTGAAGAAACAAAAACTTGGCTGAAGCTGGACCAGAGCTTGACAAGATTCAGGTGGGCTTTTTTAAAGAGGAAAAAATGGGAAATTCTTGATTCACTGTGTTTCAACAGGAGCTTTATCAGTATTGTAAGTTAACTCATGCCTTTTTAATATCTTGACATTAAAGACTTAGAAGAATGCTGTAGAATATATATCAATAAAAAGCAATTATAACTCCCTTGCACTGAGAAAGCTTACCTATAAAAACCCAAGGGCTGAGTTACTGAATCAGTCAGCAGAGATATGGATGCCAGTTTAATTAGGTAACAGAAATCATACATAGGTCACAAAGTTACAAAGTTTAAGCTCCAAAAAGAGCTCTAGGAAGACTGTACACATTTAACAAAGCTTTTAACTACCACATTACCTGACTCACAAAATAAGTTGTTTCTGTTACTCTGTATGACAGTAGGAATTTGTATTTCTGCAATTCACAAAAAAACAACACTAGCCTATAAGATGTATGTATTTATAAATATATCTGTATCTATATATATATAAAATTGCATTCTGCAGAACCAAACATAGGTGGAAGCATACAGTCATGCGGCCACACATCCCAATTTATCAGCCTAGTGGCAAGTTCCTGTTTTGTCCCAGACTCTTTAACACTTTTCAAATTATTTATTCTTTAAAACATTTGTGTTTTTAGAGCAGAAAGTAATCAAAGCAGTGCCATTCTGAGCAGAAGTGATTCCATGCTTACTTGTTCTTTTTGTTTCCTGGGAATGTGCATAAGGGGGGGGGTGTGAAGGGTTAACATGACAGAGATTTTGTGAAGTCAAGAGGATTACCACTGTAAAACAAGAACTGTATATTGAACATTCTTCCAGTCAAATCATGTGCTAATAGCTTTTGTCATGAATACTTTTGTCATAAAAGACTGAATAACAAGGTAGTAAGAAGATACTTCATTGCAAGGGAAAATCAGTAATTACAGCCTACTATGTTTTCTATTTTGTATGTGTATTTTGTGATCCTAAAGTGGGAATCTTGCCACAATTTTCCTCACTGTCTTGCCTAAATACAAAGGAATTGTAGCCTGCCAATTTAGTTCCCAGAAGTTTTAAAAGACACTGTATGCGCACATGAAAAAGCACACATACCAAATAGCCCTGAGTATTGAAAGAGCATGACTAGGATCTACATATCAAAAGGGGACAAGATTCCCCACAAAAGGATTTAAAAGTCTGTATTTGGTTTTAGTCAAGTGAGTGCAACTGCTTTACTCCTGACACAGTGATCAACTCATGACAAACACAGCACTCCCACTTACGTTATTCTGAGGAAACAAGAAATGACATTGTGGTGGGTTAACTTTAGCAAAGGGCCAAACACCAACTCAACTGCTCACTAATGCTCCTTTCTCACTAGAATAGGGAGATATACAATGAAAAAGCTCATGGGTTGAGAGAAAGAAATTGAGGTTGCTTACCATTCACTGCCATAGTCAGACTCAGCTTGGGGAAAATTAAATTACTGTCATTAAGATATATCTGGATAGTAAGAACTAAAGAAAATATTTAACCACCATGGTTTACCCTACCCTGGTCCCCAGGTTCAATTTTGCTCCTGACTCCTCAAACTTCCTGCTGAGCAGTGCAGGTGGATGGATAGCAGGAGCTTACAGGCAACCAATAACAGCTCCTCTTGGCCACTCTTTCCTCTTCACTCCTTTTCCCTGCTCCAGCATGGGGCCTCTCCACAGGCTGGAGTCCTTCAGCATAAACCTGCTCCAGAGCAAGTCCTCCATGGGCCACAGTTCACATCAGAAGAACCTGTTCCAGCATAGACTCCTCTCCCATGTTGTGGTTTCTGTAAGTGAATATCCATCTACTCTGGTGTGCTATAGTGTGGAGATCTGCTCCATGTTGGCTCTGTCTGTG